TTCACGGAATTTTGTTATAGCAGCCCAAAAGGACTAAGACATGTATACAACATTCTCTGTGACTCTTATCAGATTCTTAAGGAAGACCATGAACCATAGAAGCTTCAGAATGAGTTTGTCCTTGCACATGTGTATTAAATATTAATCCGAGTGCCCTGGGTATGCATATGCTATGGTAGTGTCTTTGCACTCCAGAAATCTCCGGGAGATAGGACGCTCATTAAGAAACCTTGCTTTCTCCTTCTACATTAGAAAACAAAAAATTTTTTTAATGAAATGTCAACCCCAGGGCATGCAAAACTGAACTAACAAAGATAAAATACTTCAAAAAAATCAATTATTTATTTAGTCATTGTGAAAAGGCTTTCTTAAAACCGAGAGTTTCAGGGAATGTCGAAGTGCCCGTTAAATTTTTAATAAACCATAAAGGATAGTGTTAAAGAAGAAACCTTTTCAAAGGTGAGCTGGCTCCAAACAAGCTCTTGAAAGGGTTCTCATCAAAGAGCATAGAGCTGCTAGATGGTAACTGGGTAATTGTGTGTGAGTTCATTTCTCTTTACACTGGAGTAGACACTGGAAACTTGAGCCACAGTGGGGTCTTTGGGGACACATCCATTTGTATGCAGACCCTTGATGATTTCATCCAGTGTCATGGGTTTAAATAGCATTCATGTGCCACCGATTCACTAACTCATACGTCTAGCCAGACTTCGCTCCCAACTCCAGACTCATGTCCAGCTGTCTTGTTGGTACTTCCTCTTGAATGTCAACAGCAACCAAACCCCACCATCCAAAACCGAATTCCTGACATTATCCCTGAAACCTGCTCCAGTTGCAAGCTTCCCGTCTCAGGTGACGGCCACTCCATTCTTGCAGCTGGCCAGCCCTGAAACCTCCGGGTCCCTGCTGGCTCCTCTCTTTCTTTCACACCCCACATCCAATCCATCTGCAGTAGAGACCCAGACGGATCCCTTCTCACCTCCTCCAGCACCACCACCTGGTCTGAGCCACCACCGTCTTTGACCTGGATTCTGCAGTGGCCTCCACACAGATTTCCCTCCTTCCATCCTCTGCACCTAGAGGGAACCTTCTGAAGCTCAAGGCAAGTCACATGCTCCTCAGTGGCTCATCACCCACAGAGCAAAAGTGCATGTCCTCACAATGCCTCTGACTTCCACCTAGGGCAGGCTCACCTCCCTGCCCTCACCTGTACTCCTCTGCCCACTGCTCCCCCTGCTGCAGCCACACTGGACTCCTGGCTCGGCCTCGCCTCGAAGGTGCCAGCCATGCTCCTGCCTCAGGGCCTTTGCACCAGCTGTTCCCTCTGCCTGGAGCACTCACTCTTTCTCAGAGATCTGCATGACTAACTCCAAGGCAAGGACACCCCAGTGAGCCCCACCCTGCCTATTCTATTTAAAGGGACAACTTGTTCCTCTAACACTTTACTGTCTCCTCTGCCCTTTTGAACTTTTTTTTTTTTTTGGTCAGTCAACAAATTTTTTTTTTTTCCTTTTTGTCTTTTTTCGTGTCCGGCAACGGATTGCAACCCTCAG